AAATGAATGGTTCATATTATTTTGATTTTAGTATTTTATTAATGATTTTCCTTATTTACCCTCTATTATATTATTTTCTTCCCTTAAATAACCTAAATTCTGTTAGTATAAACATTAGTAACAGAATATTTCGTTAACTATTTATTATTTTTAACTTACTCATTAATTTCTATAAGAAATGTCTTAGGTTCGAACCCTATCCCAATTAGAGTTGGTAATAATTGTTAAACATATACTACGAATATATTAAAATGTATTAAAAATTATATATATAATATAAAATTTAACATAAACTTTGGTCAAATAATTAGTCCGATTAAATACATAACATCAAAGTTAAGAATCAAAGATTATAAATCAAGAACTTTAAAAATCATTTGATGTTTATGCAATTAAAAAAAAATAAGTTAAGTTTTATTTTTTCCGTTTAATTAATCTTCTTTTGATTATTTAGATCAGAACAAAACTTAATATTTCAATTATACTTTTGCATTATTGGTATGATTTAGGTCGTTATGGTATTAATAGTTTTTGTATCTATTTTTTATAATGGTACAATTGTACATTACTTTACAAATAGTATACTATTATTTTTTTTATCGGACAAAATTGTTTTTACATCATTGTCAGAAAATTTAAAAAAAAAAATCAACGATTTCATTATTGTTGATGAAAAGTATATACGCCACTTTATTACTCTTATTAAATTAAATAAATTCGTACCTACAACAAAAATTAATACATATGCATTTAATTAATTTAGAATTAGATGTACCAAGACTATGTGGTCTAATGGTACTCGGGTTGGATTTCCATTTGGAAGATTGTGAGTTTAAGTCTCAGTGGAGGCGTTATTGGTTCTTTGTGTTTCAGTAGGTTGAGAAAGGTATATGAACACATACTACAATGTAATAGAACACATACTACAATGTAATAGAGCTAGTAACATTCAAAAAAAAAATTAGAATTAGATGTCTATAATGTCTTTATTTAAAAAAAAAAATCCATTATAAAAAATTTAAAAAGAGATATAATTTCATTAGTTATTTTATCTTTATTTTCTACAATTCAAAGATTCATTATCTTCAAATGTATTAATTTATTATATTCACTACAATGTCCATTGTATTCTTTTTACATTATCTTGTAATTAAATATCAAAATTATAATACAAAATATGTTATATATATATATATATATATATATATATATATATATATATATATATATACACACACACACACACACACACACACACACACACAACAAGTATTTTATACAAATATAATAAATATTAATATTTTGTTCAATACTTTCACATGATAACTTACGACACACAATCTCACAACGCATGAAGCATGTAGGAAAAAAACTACCGGACCACTACCAAATATCAATATGTGTTTGTAAGATAAAGAGTTAATAGTACAACTAAGATCCCATCAATACACAACAAGACAAATCTAAAGCTTCCTACAGCATAATCTCATTGCACGATTAATCTATCTATGCTACTACCAGTAACCCAATTGTACATGACACACTACCAATAAAAAAAAAAAAAGGACATGTGCTAAAGATGAATACAATGACAATGCTACACAAAAAAAGAATTAAGAAGGATTAGAAAAATTTAAACCAAAAGTAGTACGTATTTATTTAGACTATCGTTTTTAGCCTAAGTATTTAGACTAACGTTATTACAAAGTTGCAAACATTTATTTCAGTGACAACATAATCAATCTCTCATATATTATCTTGCATTTATATATACATTAAATTACCGATTTAAATAAACAAATTTCAATATTTATTTACATATGCATGAACATCTCTGATATAATATTACATTGATATACTTTGAAATACTTTAAAAAAAAAAATCATTGGGCATTATTTAGTGATGGCAACGGGGCGGGGAGTATACTCCCCATCGCCGTCCCCGCTGCCCCGACCTCGTCCCCGTCCCCGTCCCCATCCCCGGCGGGAAATTGAAAAAATTCCCCGTCCCCGTCTCCACGGAAAATTTGGTGGGGACGGAGAATCCCCATCTCCAGTCAATCCATAGTCAAAATGTGAAATTCGTACAATTTTTTTTTTTTTTTTAAATAAATTGAAATCCATAAATCATAATAAGCTTATTTTAAAAATTATAATTATAATTCTTCAACAATTAACATTATACTATTTTTAATAATAAGCAGTAACTTACTGACTTTCTAACCTTTGGTAATTTTAAAGTCTATTAAAACTAATAATCTAATCAAATAAAACTAATAATCTAATCTAATTCCTAATCCTAATAAAACACAGTATATATATATATATATATATATATATATATATATATATATATATATATATATATAATTTTTTTTAATGTTCGGGGACGGGGCGGGGTGGGGAGGGGTATCCCCGTCCCCGTCCCCGTCTCCGCCGGAGAATTTCACAAGTTCCCCGTCCCCGTTCCCGATCCCCGATATTTTTCGCCGTCCCCGTCTCCATTCCCTACGGAGACGGGGATCCCTTGCGGGGACAGGGCACATTGCCATCCCTAGCATTATTCCATTCGCCCAAAGCGCGCAAAAGAACTATTAATTAAGTAATATAAAGTCCAAAATACTCATACTTATTACTATTATTATTATTATTATTATTATTATTATTATTATTATTATTATTATTATTATTATTATTATTATTATTATTATTAAACTGAACCAAACAGAAAAAATGCAATTTCATAACTTTCACCCAAACAAAAAAAGATATAATTTTTTGACATTCAGCCAAACACCAAAAAATTAAAATATTTTCTAGAAAATGAGTCATTTTTTTGAAATAGTGATTTCGGAAAACATTTTCCAAGTTTTTCAATTGGACCTAATGAATATTTAATTAAATGACCAAATTTGAAACAAAAATAATAGTCAATGGATCATTTGTAGTCGAATTAAAAGTCGATAATAAAAATTAATAAAAATTATGGACCAATAAAATCCAATTAAAAATCAATGATAAAAATTAGTAAATATCAATAATCAATGTACTATTCTTGGAATTAACTATTTTACACTAGTATATAAGCATCACATTTTCTAAGACAAATAGTTAATAAAAAATTGTGTTGTAGAAGATTCTCTGGTGCCTCTTAAAACATGTAAACCCGTGACCTGCGAACAGAAACATCACCCAAAATAATATGGATTTTTGGCATATTGTATGCTTGTATTTGTCTCCCATCAAATGAAACTATTTGAATTAAGTGAGTCTTATTTAGAACTTAGAAGATCTTTTAATTTTGTATTACGAAATTGATCGCGTAAAGTCTGCGATTACCATCATTTGTCCTTGCACGCAAGTCGTACCACGAATCTTATGTTTCTTTAAAGCTGTTTATCATACTTCTTACGACTGAATATGCATCATGAATACAGTAAATATTTGCTATTATAATGTTGAAAATTTTTAACAATTATAAATCAGAATTGTACCACTATTAGTTAATCATGAACTTGTAATAAAATGTTGTTAAAAAATTAGCATAAATGATTATTTTTATTAGGACTTTATATTCTATGCACATTAAAATTCATTCTTCCTCCCACTATATTATTAGGAATATTATCATTTAAATTCATATCCTGACTGAGACTCTTTGTATCATTTTAAATACATCTCCTCATCATGTACTTAACAACATCATGGATTGATCAATAATAAGATTATTCTCATCATTTTAAATGACTATTTTGATGTCTAAAAAAAAGTGACTATTTTGATGTATAATTTCAAGTGAGTGTATTTCTTATTTGAATTAATTCAGATTCTTTTAATTGAGATCAAATGATTAATGTGATATATTATACGTTCAAAATGAATAATGTGTAAATAAGAAATTGATTATCAAAGTGTACCTATTGAATGAGAAAAATAGAGTTGAAAGGCTTTTAAATTTAAGTAACATTTGTCTCTCATTGAAAATGGATGCAAGTTTAAATTGTGTAACATAGAAGCCTTTTTTTTTTTTTTCACGTCTTAGATTGATGAGAATTGTTTAAACTGTATTAGATGAACAGTAATTACAACTGTACAGATAGAGGGAATATATACAAGAGAGATTCATAGGAAGACTAGTAAATATGTCTGCAAGTTGATCTTTTGTGGAGATAAAATTGACTTGAATGTCTACAGAAGCAACTTTATCTCGAACGAAGTGATAATCAATTTCCACGTGCTTGGAACGAGCATGGAAGATGGGACTTGCACACATATAAGTAGCACCAAGATCGTCACACCATAATTTTGGAATAAATATACGTATACCTAGCACTTTAATCTCACGCAGCAAGAAGACTATCCACATAACTTCGGCACGAACATCTACTAGAGCTTTGTATTCTACCTCAATAGAGGATCTAGCAACAGTTCTTTGTTTCTTACAGACCCAAGATATAAGGTTGGATCCAAGAAACACAGCAAAACCACTCGTGGACTTACAGTCCTCAGGATAACCAACCCAGTCAGAATAAGAAAATGCATGGAGTTCTCTTGATGCTGACTTTCTTATACATACACCAAAATTAAATGTTCCCTTTACATACCTCAAGACTCAATTTAGGTGTTCCCAATGTGATAATGTAGGAGCATGCATGTGTTGACATAATTGCTTGACTGCGAATGATAGATCTGGGCGTGTGATAGTTAGATACTGTAGTGCTCCTACCAGACTTCTGTACTGTGTAAGAAACCAAGTTCACCAAGATCCCAAATCTTAAATGCAACAGATAACTATTTTATCAAATGAGTCACAATGAGTGTTTGTATTTCTGTAGAATAATCTGTTACAAGATTACAAGATTATAATATAATAATACTCTAGTCTACTAGAAATGAAAGACTAATTATAATCAATATACAATCACCCTAATCACTCACAATCAAATCACAATTACTACAATCATGCACATTCATAATATATCTAACACACACCCTCAAACTCAAGGTGGGATGAAGACAACATTGAGCTTACCGCGCAGCAGTCCAAAACGGGATGACGGGAGGGGTTTCGTAAAGATGTCCGCCAATTGATCTTTCGTGGAAACGAAGTTGACCTGAAACTCTCCCGAGGCAACTTTATCACGAACAAAGTGAAAATCAATCTCCACGTGCTTTGTCCGGGCATGAAAAACGGGATTAGCATAGAGGTAGGTGGCCCCAAGATTGTCACACCAAAGCGTCGCAGGCCTACCTGAGTGTAAACCAAGTTCACACAGCAGCGAAATAACCCAAGTGACTTCAGCTGAAACATCTGCCAACCCCTTGTATTCTGCTTCAGTGGAAAATCGGGCCACGGTCCGTTGTTTTCGGGACACCCACGAGACCAAGTTTGTGCCTAGAAACACAACATACCCACTTGTGGACTTCCGGTTTACTGGACACCCGGCCCAATCCGAGTCGGAGAACGCATGAATGTCTGTGGATGCGGAGGACTGTAAACGGAGACCATAAGACAGCGTCCCTTTAACATACCGTAGAACCCGCTGTAGAAGACCCTAGTGTTCAATGGTTGGGGCATGCATAAACTGACACAGGCGATTGACAGAGTACGAGAGATCCGGGCGTGCGATTGTTAAATACTGAAGAGCGACAGCAAGGCGGCGGTACTGTGTGGGATTGTCGTAGAGCTCATTATCAGGTGCAACAGCTTGAGTAATAGCGGCCGGGGTGGTGAGGGGCTTACAGTCAGTCATACCGGCCCAATTTAAGATGTCTCCCATATAGCGACGCTAGGATAGGACCAAGGCACCGTCGGTGGATAGAGTTTCAATCCCGAGGAAGAAGCTTGGCTTGCCAAGGTCCCAAATCTTGAATGCCGTAGATAACCGTTGCAGCAATGTGTCAAGCAAGGTCTGATCCTCTCCCATCATAATGATGTCGTCCACATACACCAATAAGAACACACGGGCAGAGCCAGCTGAGTAGTGAAATAATGAGACATCGGTTTTAGAGGCAGTGAAACCTGCAGACAGAAGAAAATCATGAAGGCTTTTAAACCAGGCTCGAGGAGCCTGTTTTAAACCATACAAGGAGCGTTGAAGATGGCACACATAGTCCGGGCGACCTGGATCTTCATACCCTGGTGGCTGACACATGAAGACGGTCTCAGACAGACGCCCATTTAGAGGGCATTATGGACGTCGAGTTGACGGAGAGTCCATCGGCGGGATATTGCAAAAGAAAACAACAAGCGTACAGTTGTAGGTTTTAAAACGGGGCTAAAAGTATCAAAAAAATCCTCGCTGGCCACCTGGTGAAACCCTTTTGCCACTAGACGCGCTTTGTAGCGCTCAACAGTCCCATCAGCTTTCCGTTTAGTGTGATAGACCCACTTGCACCCGATGATATTCATGTTGGGCTTCGCCGGGACCAATGTCCAGGTGTCATTATGAAGAAGGGCATTGAACTCCTGGTCCATGGCATCCCACCACTGCGGGTGACTGACTGCTTGAGTGTAACAGGTGGGATCAGCTGTGTCACCAGCTGCAGCTAGAGCTAAAAACTGTTCAGTTATACCCCGAGTCATGTGTCGCAAGCGCATGACGTGACTCTGCTGTACTGGCTTCCTGGACCGACGGCCTGTGGTACGGAGCAACCGTATCCCTTGCTGGTGGGGAAGGCGGAGATGTGGCGAGCCGTCAATGAGAGGTACGATTGGACTCGAACCCCAAGGCTCGGTAATGTCCTCTGTTTGTCCTAGACCCTGCACAGAAGCTGTTGTAGCAAAAGGGAAGACAGATTCGTCAAATCTAACATGGCGACAAATAAAGGTTTTCCCCGTGTTAAGATTTAAGCAACGATATCCCCGATAAGATATGGGGTACCCTAAGAAGACACATGGGGCGGACCGGAACTCTATTTTGTGACGGTTGTATGGACGTAGATATGGAAAGCATAGGCACCCAAACACCCGAAGAAACGTGTACGTTGGTGGTGTTTTATATACTCTGAAGTGAGGAGAGTCAAAGTTTAAGACCGAGGACGGTAGACGATTTATTAAGTAGGTTGCAGTTTCAAAGGCTGAATCCCAGTATTTGAGAGGTACCGAGCCTTCAGCGAGTAGAGCTAGACCGGTCTCAACAATGTGCCGATTCCGACGCTCTACTCGCCCGTTCTGCTCATGTGTATAAGCACAAGATTGCATGTGCACAATGCCAAGAGGTAGAAAAAGAGAATGCAGACGGCGGTATTCACTCCCTAAATCGGACTAGATGGCCTTGATAGAACGAGAAAACAACCATTCTACCATGGCCCTAAAACAATCAAAGACCTTATATATATCAGTTTTTACACGAAGTGGATAAAACCAACAATAGCGAGTGTTGTCATCAACGAATAAGACAAAATAACGAAAACCATCTGCTGAAACAACGGGAGCCGGGTACACAAGATCAAGGACATTACAACTAGAAGTGTTTATTCTATCCAAAGGAAAGCGCGAAGACTTGCGAAGTTGGCAAGCCGAACATAAATGTGGGGAACCCGATTTATGAGGAATGACTGGACATGCCCGTAGCACACGAGTAAGGACACGATCATGCGGTTGGCCTAACCGACGATGCCAAACCACGGGGGAAGCTCGGGCGGACAGGAAATTGCCATATGCGACCGCGGACTGACAGCTGGTACAAACCACCCGAACTGGGTCCCTTAAGAAGGACTGCCTTGGTGATGCAATCCTTAACAACAAAGAAGTTAGGATGAAATTCAAGATAGACATTATTATCATGCGTGAAACGGGAAACAGACAATAATGAAGCCGACCGTTTAGGAACGTATAACACATTAGGCAATTGTAAGGATTTTGAAACAGTGGGAATCGAAGCAAAACCAACACGAGTAATACCTAAACCCGTCCCATTACCGACACGGAGGACGTCCCCACCGAGTACTCCTCGGAATGAGATAGCATGGTAGCATCTGGCGTGGCGTGTGCGGTGGCTCCGGTGTTCGGGAACCAGGTGGTCGAGACTGCAGCACTGTCGGCGGTGTCTCCGTTCACAGCGACGTTGGCCTGAGGGGGTGGCTGGTCACTGCACCGGCGGAAGCAGTATATCGCAGTATGCCCGTGAGACCGGCAAATCTGGCAACGTGGTGATCCTCCTCTGCCCCGAACAGTGTTCCATCGGTCGCCACCGCGATTGTTTCCGCGTCGTCCTCCACGCGGCTGCCATCCTCTATCAGTCGACTGCCGGCGACCACGATTCGCAACCATTGCCGTCGGCGAACCAGTCGGTAATCCACCCGTCGGAAATTCATCGGAATAAATGAATTCCTAGGCCTGCAAGTAATCGGACAGTTGAGGAAGAGACACAGGGGTACCTGTAACGGCCAAGGAAGCTGCCATCGATCGAAACTCCGGCCGGAGACCGCGGAAGACATATAAGTTCTGCTCGTCGAGTGAGATCGGACGTCCGGCCAGTGCAAGATCCTCCACAAGCAGCTGTGCCTTGCCGAGGTATTCTGCCGGTGACATGTCACCCTGTCGGAGGGCTTGAAAGCGGCTGAGGAGATTGAGACACCGTGCCCTGGTGGAGGACCCAAGTGCGGACTCGATGGAAACCCACACCTCCCTGGCGGTTGATCGTCCGACTGCTAAATACATAACCTCCTCAGAAAGAGAGGAGATTAAGAGTGAAAGTATAGATTGGTCATGTTGGACCCAACTGGAGAACGCCGGATTCGGAGCAGTCGACGTCGCCTCCTCAGAGGCGTCGCCGGCGGAGGTGGTGATCGCAGCAGTCACCGGCGGTGAGCAGGGGTTCTCTCCAGTGACATACCCCAAAAGGCCTTGACTACGCAAGAACGAAATGAGTTGTGTACGCCAAAAAAGATAGTTCCGTGTCGTCAGTTTTGATCGACACAAAATGATGGGCAGAAGAGAGGTGATTTTGGGTGGAGGTCGGAGTGGGAGGTACGATGGTGGTGGTTACTGTGCGTTCAGAAGACGGGTTGGCTATCGATGGGGAAGGAGAGAAAGAAGGAAGAAGATAACTATCACAATCTGATACCAAATGAGTGTTTGTATTTCTGTAGAATAATCTGTTACAAGATTACAAGATTATAATATAATAATACTCTAGTCTACTAGAAAGGAAAGACTAATTATAATCAATATACAATCACCCTAATCACTCACAATCAAATCACAATTACTATAATCATGCACATTCCTAATATATCTAACAGTCACAAGATCCTGATCACTTTCCATCATAGGTATAGTATATCATCAACATAGACAAAAAAAAAAAAAAAAATACACATAAGTAGAGTCCTGTGAGTAGTATAATAGAGACACATCCGTTTTTTATGATTGAAACCCAACAAAGAGTAAAAACGTATGTAAACGATTAAACCAAGCTCTAGGAGCATGTTTTAAGACATACAAAGAGCGCTTAAGCAAGCAAACATGATTGGAATATTGAGTATCAATTTAACCAAGTGGCTGCTTCATATAAACAGTTTCAGACAAATTTCTATTTAATAAAGCATTATGAACATCAATTTGCTTGATGACCCAACCAAAAGATAAAACCAAGGAAAGAAGCAACCTGAAAGTAGTGGAATTTACCACTGGGCTGAACATATCAACGAAATCCTGTCCAGGCACCTAGTTGAATCCTTTTGCTACTAATCTTGCCTTGTGTCTCTCAATAGAACCACCTGCCTTTCGTTAGTGCAGAAGACCCACTTACATCCAATAACATTCATATATGCCCGAGAGCGTACAACACACCACGTTTGATTTTGTAGAACAGAATTGAATTCGTGGTCCATAGTATCACGCCACTCTGGATATTTTACTGCCCGAGTGTAACAAGTAGGATCTGGGGGACAGACCTGAACACTCAAAGCTGTGGGTGGTACCTGAGATCTACTACGAGTCTCCATATTATGTTACTACGGGCAGGTCTGGTAGGAGTTCGCCTCCTGCGTGATGACCCCGTGTGGTACCCGCAGGCTAGTTTTGTGACAACCCAAAATTTTAATTTTATAAATCCGATTTTAAGAAATTCCAAAATAGCCATTTTCACTCCATTAAAATATTTCCGAAAAAATTGGTGTTTGAATAAATTATTTTGAGCCACTTTTAAATTAATTCAACACCAAAACTAATTTTAATTCCAAACTCATAAATTTTTGGGTGCTTCGCGTACCAAGTTTTAAACTGAGAAACCAATCTAGGTGATACCGGGAGAAATCTGAACCAAGTGTTTATTTGGAAATCATTTTTGGAAAAATACATTTTGACCCCAAAACTATTTTAACCTATGATTCTAGGCCTTGGTCCATGTAGCATGGTAGACCACAAAATCCATCTTTGTCTGATGTTTTATAGAATCAACCAAAAATTACCATTTTGCCATCCACCAATCATGAGAGAATTTCCTAGGGTTTTGCACCCTTTATAAGTTTCATTATCTCATCTGCTTATTCTTGATTCTCTTTTCTTTGCCTCTTCACCAAGTCTGAGCTTTCATTTACAAGAAGAAGCAAAATAACAGTAAGATCCTAAGCTTTCATCTCATCCCTTCATCTCTTTTCTTAAGGTTTCCATCCATGTTGCCATCTATCTCTGAGTTTTTATCTTAAGCTTTGTTTGTATTGTTGGTTGAGGTGTCTTGGTGGTGAATGGAGCGGTGTTTGAGCACAGTGGAGGCTGAGACTCACACAAGAAGGAAGAACAAGA